TGGATTCAATTAAGACTTTTTAATCGAAAACATTCTTCATTGTTGTAGTTCATGTTTCTTTGAGAAATTAGACAAAATTTGTTTCTTTAAAACAAAGGATTGTAGTGTTGAAGGGATTCTTCACATTATTATTGTGTTTACGTCATCTGTTAATATGGAATCAATCACATATTAAGCTTCAATTTTATGACACATGAATCAATTGTATGTGTTTTAAGTTGATACCATATAAATACCTTGATTAGTCAGCATTTTGAACTTCAGACTTAAGGTTACATGACTATTGATTTCATCAATCATATTTAATGTCGAATTATGGATATACATGATTAAAAAGAATTCAAGATCAATACAAAAGACATAAACTAAAGTCAAATGAACCAAAACAAGGAAAAATGCAACCTAACACAGACTTCAGATGCAATTGGAATGTAACCACACATGGCTATAAGAAGACTTCAAGCATCAATGTATATTTATTGGTAGGAGGGGGGGGGGGGGGGGGTTTCAAGCAAGAAGGTAAAATATCATGAGAAGTGAAGGTTCATTTGTGAGTCATTGAAAAAAATCTGTTTCAATGTGCATATGTGAATCCATATGAATAATCTGTAATGTTGATTCACATGTGCATTATATATTTTTGTAGATTTTTTCAATGAATTCATATATTAAGATTTCCTATGAAGTTTACACAAACAAAACTTCTGAAAATGAAAAAAGGGGGAAAATATAAATCTTCTAAAATGGGAAGTATAAAACGTAACAGACAAACAATCCCATATAGCTCATCCTAATAGGTCGTCAGTTCAAGTATTTTCATGATTACAAAAGATTTCTTCGATTATTATTTCCAGGATCCCATTAACTTGTCGAAGAGAATTTAATAAAATTTGACATTTTTCAAATTTGTTTTTCCATCTAATTAGTATTAATGATTCACTTTGTTTTTTTAATCATTTTAAAAATGTTAACAAATATTGATTCATTTGAGCATCTTCCTTCGTACCTCTTACATTTAAATTGATATAAGAATTAGTGTAATAAGTTTTTTTTTATAGTTGTTATTTCAATCATATTCTTTATATTAAAAATTATACCACTACAACAAAATCAGGTTTATAGGACATTCTCAATTTCTAAGTGTCTTAATAGACCTATTTATAAAACTTAATTTATAGGACCAAATTAATAAATCGTCATATCTAAAGGCATTGTAATAAGTTTATATGACGTTTTTTGACGCCGTAATAAATTTTTTAGCACACTTTTAATATAAAACATCTCATTAGCAACTTTATATGACACTATTTGAAAAATTGTCCTATAAAAACAAATGTCCTGTAAAAAAATTGAGTTTATAAGACTCTTTCTCAAAAGTGTCCTATAAAAATGCTAATGCAACATTTTATATTAAAAATGTTCTAAAAAACTTGTTAAGACATTCAAAAGTATCATATAAACTTATTACAACACCTTTAGATATGACACTTTATATTTTAGTCCTGTAAATCAAGTCCTACAAAAGGTCTATTGGGACGCTTAGAGATTGGGGTGTCCTATAAACCCAATTTTGTTGTAGTGTATATTATTTTAATTAATTTAATTTACTTTTTCTTATCTATACATATACTATATTATAAAGCATTTGACAAAAAACTCTTAAAAACCATTTTTATGCATCAAGTACTATTTAGGGGGTGTTTGGGATTGCTTATTTAAAATAACTTATGTTTTTTTGTAAAAGTGCTTATTAACTTATGTGGTATCAAACCGGAGTTAAATAAAACAGGGTTAAAATTGTAAAATGGTAATAAGCAGTTTTTTATAAGTTAGAAAGGACTAACTTATCAAAAACTCTGACTTATAAAAAACAACTTATTACCACCGGTATAAGCAGTTTTTTTCCTTATCCAAACACTAGAAAACAGTTTATCACCGGTGCCAGACTGAAATAAGTTAAAAATCAGCTTTTATAAGCAATCCCAAACATCCCCTTAATGAAGCATATTACTTAAAATTCATGCATTCATCGGCGGCTGATCTTGTAATGTCAAAGAAAAAGACCGCTCAATAAGACCCCTATTCGATCTAATAGTCGAATGAGGTACGAACTAGTGCTAGCTCTGGCGGGGTAACAAAGGTCCTTGCCAACCTCGTAGCGGAGAGGCGGCTTATTGCAGCAATTTGAATCAGTAATCATCAATGCGTAACTGAACTTGTTGGTCCTAATTTGTCTTTAAACCCATCACCCTAACCAAGCCTTCTCTCCGACTTCTATTAGTAGGGAATGTTTAAAGAGCCTAACATAGCTAGGTTAAGAGATAATTGAGCAATTAGGCGTAAATACATTTACTAAAGCTCCATTTTAAATTAGTGTAACTCACTGTAGATAAACATAATCAAATACATGATAAACATCTCATATTAAACCCATCACCCTAACCAAGCCTTCTCTCCGACTTCTATTAGTAGGGAATGGTTAAAGAGCCTAACATAGCTAGGTTAAGAGATAATTGAGCAATTATGCGTAAATACAACCTACTAAAGCTCAATTTTAAATTCGTGTAACTAACTGTAGATAAACATAATCAAATACATGATAAACATCTCATTTTAAATATAAAAAAATCTAAAATATAATTATGATAATCATTGAGTTTTAATAGAACACTTAATTATTATCTTAAAAAAATTACATTATTAAACCGAAAATAAATTACTTGTGATTAAATCTAAATTAAATTATACTAAAAAAATGAAATTAAAGAAATTATACAAAAAACGTGAACTTTTAAATAGTTAACTTGATATTAATATCGATATATTTTTTCAAATTTTTATGAAATATTCAAATTTATATTTTATTCAAACATAAAAACATTATCGTTTTATCAAAATCATATAAAACTGTGTTATAGTATCAACAAAGACAAAAAATAAAACCAAACATTCAAATCAAGATGTATCGCTGCATTGTGTGAGTATCCTTCTAATCTATACTATCTATAAAGCATTTGGCTAAAACT